GTGTGGATACAGTGGGCATAAAGGATCTTTCTTTTCCGTGGTTGGGAATTCTTACCATCATGCTGATGCTGGTGGTGGATTTCCACAGGTGCAGACCCACCACACCGACACCAGTGAACATCTGGGGAACTGACAGTGGGATAGTGGACTGATGCTCATTACAGGAAGGGTCAGAGCTGACTCTACCTGCTCAGGAAGCTTTTGGAGTGTAGCAGGTGCTCCTGAAGACCTTTTCTGACTCTGTGGTGGCATCAGCCATCTTCTATGGTATCTGTTGAAACAGCAGCTTATCTGCAGCTGAAAGGAAGTGGTTGGATAAGCTCATCAGGAAGGCCAGCTCTGTCATGCCCATTGACTCAGTGCTGGTGGTAGGAGACAGAAGACTGGCAATTAAATCATCAATGTCTGCACTACATGCATGAATCTGTTGGAGACCTGGAGAGCTCCTTCATTGACAGACTTGGACTTTATAATTATCACTGCTCCCGGCAAACACATGACAGGGGGAGAAACAATCAGTCACATTTATCTCTGAAGGAGTAAATACACCCTGTGGGGGTTCAAAGCATATTGGAGACCTCGCAAAATCACTTGTGGGAATGAAATGACCACAGAGTACTGGAATTTAGTGTGGTTGATATGACAAATGAACTCACAGCAGTAATTGTTATTGTTATTAGGGTTGATTATAAGTAGGTCTACCTGCCATACAGAATATGCACTAAGAATTTATTAGTGAAGTAGTTGTGAGATTCAAATAGTGTACGCACAAATTTATTTGGATAAAATTTAGGACTAGAGAAGAAGCTGAAACTCTCAGGAAGAAAGCACCTTGAGTGATTCTTCAAGCCTTTCCAGCGTTTGTGTTTATGTGGATGTTGATAATATGTGAAAATGATCACGAATCACAGAAAACACAACACAATTGAAAAACCTCTCAGGTCACACTATCCTAAACAGGTATTGTCTGTGTTTAGTAAAAGACTTCCCCCCCGTGTGTCACTTAGTTGGAGCTTGATAAGCTCCTGTTGGGGCACTTTTTCACCCATCACTCTGACTTTAGTTCCAACGCAGCTGTAGATTGAAAGGGCAAAGCATGTTGATCAACCTTGTTGTCTTCCTCAGCATCAGTGTGCAAATCTTTAAAACTCTGAGTAGGTTTTGTGGTTCTGGAATCCTCTTGTAATTGCTGGCATGAATCTTGAGCGGTTCAACTTTGACTTTAACCTAAGTCTGGGTTCACAGAAGTATCTGGAATCGTCTTTGAAGATCTCTTATCACTTTTCTGGTTTGTAAGGGTGTGGGGTTTTTTATGCACATTGTGCCTTAACCTACTGTTTCAAAACTAGTGCTGAGCTTATCTGGAATTCACCACTTTGAAAGGGTTTCTTTGAGCAAGGTTTTTGCATCTTATTTGCAAGAAAGGAAATCAGCTGCTTATTTTGAAAACATCTCAGCAAACACCAAGCATGTTTCTTTACATTCACATGGCCTGAGTTCAATGTCAAAGTCCATGTGTAGATGATCAAAAGACCACTCTAGGTGTGGATGTGCTGCCTGTAGCCTTTGAATGCCTCTGCCTGTATTATTACTTGCACAAATCATACAAGAGTTAAAAGATTATTGAAAGGGTAATTACAGAATCTCTTTGTAAACCACTGTTGCTGTATTTGTTGTAAAATCCCTCCTTTTAATACATGGTTCTTTCCATGTGTCAGTGTAGCATAATAAGAGCATCATCTCTATCTCATCGTGTCACATTAAGCTTGTTGGTGTTCTTCATGAGCCTTTGGTCAGTTCACTGCTCTTGACTCTTGTGCTGCTGGACTCCTTTTCTTGGCTGTTTGTGCTGTCTGGGTTCTGTTGGTTCTCAGCAGGGGCCTTGGGCACTGGTCTTCCTGTATGTTTCTGTCACGGGCTGCGATGGCAGACCGAGGAGTGGCAGTGAAAGTAGGGCCCAAAACGCGAGACTCTTAGCGAAGGACAGTGGATTTATTTATTTACACACAACTATATACAAAATCCCAGCACTGTGGTCCCGTGGTGATTCTCCCTGAATCCCACACAGTGCACATGTCCGTAAAAGAGAAAGGTGGCGACTCCAAAAAACTCCAATTCCCACACCGTGACTTAGAAGCACACTCCGCTCCAGATTCCTGGTAACACAAAACACAGAAGGTTAGCAGGGGATCTATTTCCTCGGAGGTTACGCAAAAGCTCACGGCAGTACTGACGAGTTCTGACTCAAGGATCCAGCGTCGGCCTCAGCTCAGCTGCAGTCTTA